TAGAGTGGTACTATATTGCCTTCATTTGAAACATCCCTAGTAATAACTAAAAGTCATCACAGATGACAGAATATACTTCAACAATGACATGGCTCAGTGAAGCTTGTTGAACACAGATGTCTTGAGCCATTTGTTCAAGTGTCCTTAGAAAATTTGCCCAGAAAGAATGCAACCAATTTCATGCTTAATAACAAAAGCATAAAGGACTGATTTCTGTTTCAGTTCATCATATTAAACAATGATGAAAATCAACAGGCACTCTGAATAACACTTCATTTCAGGAAAAATGTRCTAGCTAGGTCCATTTCTAAACTAAACTCTTTAATTTTCTATCTTTGAAGATAAACAATGACAGAATCACAAAATGTTCTGAGTTGGAAGGGACCCACATGGATCGAATCCAGCTCTTGAGTGAATGGCCAGTACAGGGCTTAAACCCACAATCCTGGAGTTAATTAGCACCTTGCTCTAACCAACTGAAATTATTTCTACCTTCATTGTTATTATGCTACCTAAAATACCATTATCTTAATGCAGTATTGTAGAAAAAACAATCACCCTTAATCACACTTTATTGTGRATAAACCATGAAATTTTTTGCAAATCCTACATATTTTTCCCCTTTTAATCTGGGGATACTTTGGCTCCAAAGATCCCTTGGAATTTTCCTGAGTCAGAATTACCTAAATCTGAAAAGAACTCAGAGAAGTCATAAAGGATTTGGATGCAGGACTTGAAGGAATACTAAGTTTGGAGRTTATACAAAATTGGGAGTAACTGTTGAGTCCCTCTGAAGATAGAGAGGCCCTGCAGAGAGACCTTAACAAGCCAGAGATCTAGGCAATCCCCAACCATATGAAGTTTAACAAGGGGACGTGCCACATTCTGCATCTCAGATGGGGCAACCCAGGATGTACAGGCAGGCTGGGAATGAGAGGCTGGAAAGCAGAGCCATGGAAAGGGAGCTGGGGGTCCCGGTCAATGACAAGGTGACCATGATCCAGCAGTGCCCTGGCAGCCAGGAGGGCCACCCATGTCCTGGGGGTATCAGGCCCAGCATGGCCNACCCAGGATGTACAGGCAGGCTGGGAATGAGAGGCTGGAAAGCAGAGCCATGGAAAGGGAGCTGGGGGTCCCGGTCAATGACAAGGTGACCATGAGCCAGCAGTGCCCTGGCAGCCAGGAGGGCCACCCGTGTCCTGGGGGATCAGGCCCAGCATGGCCAGCCGGGCAAGGGAGGGGATTGTCCCGCTCTGCTCTGACCTGGGGCGGCCTCAGCTCCAGTGCTGGGGGCAGTTTTGGGTGCCACAACACAGAACAGACATTGAGCTGTTGGAGAGTGTGCAAAGGAGGGCACCAAAGGGGTGAAGGGTGAGGGGAAGCCGTGTGAGGAGGGGCTGAGGGCACTCGGTCTGTTCAGCCTGGAGGAGACTGAGGGGAGACCTCACTGCAGGGACAAGCTCCTGTGAGGGGAAGAGGAGGGACTGGCACTGATCCCTTCTCTGTGGTGACAGTGACAGAACCCGAGGGAATGGCCTGAAGTTGTGTCAGGGGAGGTTTAGTGATATTAGTGAAAGGTTTGGATATTAGTGAAAGGTTTTTCAACCAGAGGTGGTTGGGCACTGGAACAGGCTCCCCAGGGAACTGATCACAGCACCAGCCTGACAGAGCTCAAGAAACATTTAGACAATGCTCTCAGGCACATCATGTGACACTTGGGGTGTCCTGTATATAGCCCAGAGCTGGACTTCAATGATCCTACTGGGTACCTTCCAACTCAAAATGTGCTGTGATTCTTAGGCAGGACAAAGACTGTGCTGCTGCATGACTTTCACRCGCTTCATGCAAAAGCGTAGGAAGGAACAGGACCTTCCCACCAGGACAACACACACCCAGCCAGTGCTGCCCAGTGAAGGGAGGTGATGGTGGGATTTTCGAGAGGAAAATCTACACATTGGGAAAACATTTCTCAGACTTTCTAATACCTCGCTTTCCAAAAGAGTAAATATTTTGAGTAAAAGTTTCAAGCAATCAGAAACAGTTAAACCCAAAATTCTGCTGAAGGAATTATGTGAAGTGCTTGAGAAAGCACACTGATTTCTGAACACCAGAATTAGCCGAGGATTAAAAGTAGGTAATTTGAAAACTATGTAACCAAACACTTTCATATGTTACAAACTTATTATTGAACATCTACATGGAAGGGGGAAAGAAAAATTACAGGGCTTTTTATCAAACTTATCTGCAAACAATAAATAGTAAGACTTCCATATTATTAACCATATAGTTAAGAAATGTAATTCCATAAGAAGGAACTGTCTGTTTAAATCTGTTCTTACATCTGTTCTGGTGAAAATGGTTGGCTATATATATATTTATTCTTTTTTACAGTATAAAGTTGAATATTATTTTCACTACAATTTTTCTTAACTATCTTAGTGACTTAAATATTTTCCTGAGMCAAGATGACAGACAACTGTCTTTAAGACCATGACGTATCTTATCCATGGTCAACTTTTGCTTAAGTTTTAGTTCTTCTAACAAAATAATTGTCTGACAGTTCTGCTTTCATAGTYGTCTCTGTTTCAAAGGAGAAATGCAAGCCCTATCTAAGCAAGAGTCAATATGAGATAGAAAACTGGATCAGCTCTTTGTAAAACCACTGAGTTTTTATATTCGCAACTACTTGCATAAACAGTGGAAACAGATATAAAATAGTATTAATGCCATACATACTAAGGATTTATTATATAATCCATCTTCATAAAATATAGAACACAACGACAATACTTTGGCAACTTCTTTTTAATGATCTACAATATGGGGAAGGCAAAAGACTGTGTAAAAAGCAACTATGAAAAGTCATCAAATGGGCCTTACACAATATTGACTAATCCAGCTTTGTTGGTATTTCAAGATACTTGAGATATTGATGTCTGTATGGAGATGTAAAGTGATACACTCCTGTTCAGCAGTGTTATTATTCAGTGATTAGGCAGAGTAAAAATGAAAATACTTTAGTACTACTTCCCATTCACCAAAGTAAGTGATAAGTAACAAGAAAAGTAGCTGTTAGTACTGTTTCCACTTTACCAGTACCATTAATAGTGCTTAAGACCTGTTTTTCACTCAMGACTTCCAACCAATCTGCAATTAACTTCCACTGGTAGACTCCCCAGAGCTACTACTGTCTTCCAGCAATCCCTGTATTTGCTTCTGTCAACCCCTTTACAAGGCTATAGATGAGTACAGATGTAATCAAAATCATAACTGAAAATGTCCATCTGCAGAGGCAACCATGGTACAAGAGAGCTACACAATAAGCTGTCAGCATCCCACAATCTAAAGGAAAAGATCATAACCAGTTCATCCTTGCTATCAGCCTGCATTTTACTTTATGACTACTGTCTGAATTTTAAATGGAGAAAGAAGAATGGGAGGAGAATACTGGAGACAATGGTGGGAGCATGTGGGCAGCAMTGAGGGATTAAATGCTAAGGAGAAAGGCAGGGAAGAATGAGGAGCAGAAATGGGAAGAAGTGGGTGAGAAAAAAGAAAGGAGGCAAGAAGGAGGTAGAAGGAATGAAAGAAAGCAGGGAAGAACAGTGTGGAGAAATGGTGTGAAAATAGGGAAATGGTGAGACAGTGGGGAGAATGGGAGTAAGAATGGGTAAGAAGAAGAGAATGAGAGGAAGAAGGGGGAAGGAAATGGGACAAAGGGAAGATGCAGGATGCAAGGGATGAGGAAAGGGAGAAGAACTAGCAAGAAGAGAGWAGAAAAGGAATAGGGGTGAGGCAGGGGAAGGACAGAAAAGTATAATGGAGCAGGATGGGAAGAATGAGGGGAATGTGGAAGGGAGGATGGGAGGAGACTGGAGTAGAATGAGGGCAAAATGAGAGGGGTGAATCAGGAATCTTTGCCCTTTACACTTCTTCCCTGATTTTGCTTGCAACAAGTAATAATGTGTGTGCCACTGCAATGCCCTGTGTGGGGAGTAACATGCTAGCAAGTATGGCAAGGAGACTTTGCTACTCTTCATTGCCAAGGACAGTGGAATGCGATGACCTGTCCTTTAATGACTCTGTTAGAAGAAGCAGCAATCAGAAAGTTTCAATTTAAGTTAAATACATTAGAAATATAAAACAGTCTGAAAGGAAATATAGAAATAAATGTTGCTGAAGTATAGCATGGCTCTTTAGGCCTTCTATTATCCCATGAACTCCAGGTGTCCTTTTTCTGTTATAAAAGCACTTGATGAAACAATATTAACAAAAGTTCAATTAAAAGATCAAAAAGCACAATAAACTTTTCATAGCTCAACAAAAATGCTTCTCTTACCAATTCATTTCTTCTCCATCAGGAAGAGAAAAATAAAAGCGGATTAATCTGATTTACAGAGCGAAAAACAACACTGAATGCACTTTTTGTCAGGGAGGCAGGGGGAAGGTCTCCAGCTGGTTCTCATCTATATGCCATGATTCTTCATTTAGTTTACACTATTAAACTGAAAAACTCAGCTTTAATCTTTAACTATTACAGTATGCCTTAGAGTAGATTCTATCATGTAGCATCCTTGATACAGTTTCAGACTCTGGCAAAACATCATCCCTCAGACTGGTCGTGGCCATATGGGTAGTAAATGTATCCAACATTTTTTCATTGGCGCCTACATTATTACGTCTTGTCACCAATGGTTTCTCGGGTTTTCAAGTAAATTGTTGCACATACTGTGGTTTGGAGCTGTTGAGATGAAGCCCTACATTTATCTGTATACAGCCAAATTCTTTTTTGGAACTTTCTTTCCTTCTAATGAACTAACATCTGTTGAAAAAAAAGAAACTCATGTTTCCAGAACACTGTACAGAAATGAGAAAAAATAAAACAGCAGAACACTGCCAAGTAGCTATTGTTGCCAAATCTTACATGATTTAAAAAAAAAAAAAAAAAAAAAAAAAAAAAAGGCACGAAAATGATGGGTGGACAGAAGTGGGCATCATACCTGATCTGTCTTCATTTTGTGAATCACACCTTCTACATAATTCTGGGATGGTCTTGAGAGAAGTTACAGAATACTGTAAAAAAGGAAAAAAATGCATAGAGGTAATAATTAAAAAAGATAAAAAGTAAGATTTTCAAGAGGTTCAAATGTCATGGACACAAACTAAACCTACAAACCAAGGGTACTTCTGTCAGTCTGATGGTCTTCTTAGGTTGCACGACAAAAGCAGATGGCACCTGCTTTTGCTTCCCACCTTGAGGTGTAGCAAATAGACTTTCAAAGCTAGAGCAAAGCATCYCCCCACCTCAGATTTCTCCTTCCTGCAGATCATCATTACTTAAGTCACAAATACACACTGTGAGATATATCAGAGGTCAGAACACATCCAGTCTTCACTATAAACTTCAAGGGTCTCACTTTGCCCACCTGGGCATCTATTATGGTGATTGCACTGCAATAATCAGATTGCACTGCTTAAAAATCAGAATTCAAGCTGTCACAAACCAGTRTGTAAAAGAGATGCAGAGTCTGCAGAGATTAGATTTCAGGGGTGGGTGTGTATACTCACATATCAGATGACAGGTTTGTTTCTCTAACCTGGGTTTTATTAAAGCAAACTTGTATTATTATTTTGATGTGACAAAACACATCTGATATGAATCAGCATGTTATTCTCTGAATGAACCATTTAAAAAGGGGGAAAAAACCCACAGAGGTGGCATAGGTATTTTACTAAACAGAAGTTTTTTTTCTTTCTAAACTTGTGGAATACCCTTGGAACAACACAGGACCCACTGTTATAAAACCATGCATTCTGATATGCAGCTCCTTAATAGCAAGTCTTCCTTAATCAAATAATTAAATGTTACAAGAATCTCCACTAAAACAAATGAAAATCATTGTGTCTGTGAAAGAAAGATAATTACTTCACTTATGCAAAAAGACCCTATTAAAAACAGTATTTTGGAAACAAAAACAGAAAAAAAAACATTCAGGCTTAGCACAACTGAAATTTTTCTAAGAATACATAAACACCATATGTTTTCAAAGAAACAGATATTTTTAGTTGGTTTGCTGTTGACCAATGAGGCAAAACAACTACATATAAAACCATATGAACTTTCCACATTAAAAAAAAAAAACGATGGTGCATTGTCCTGGTTTTTGCTGACATTTCGTCATTCAGTGTTTGACGTGTTTCTAAAGCACAGCTGGCAATCTCCTTCAAAGCAATCTAAATTCAAGCTCATTTGACCAATTGCAGAATAATTTACTTTTCTGGTGCAAGTTTGGGACTGTTACTCAAATGACTGTAGTTACTTCATTAAGCCTAGAAAATGTCCCAGGCCTTACTTTTTCCCTTGCCAGCCTAATCCAGGGATGTATTGAGAAACCTCAACCACAAAAAGGAACCCTCATAAGTATTCCCAGGATCAACAATGAACTTATTAATTAAAATGTGTAGCAGCACTCCAGAACCACCCAGAGATTCAAATCCCGTTAAACAAGGGGCTGTCTATAAGGCTGTGACTGCTTCAGGATGTGACAGCCTAAAGCAAAAACCAACAGAACAGAGACAGGAAGAAAGATGCTACTAAAGACAAATTAATACAAGTTAAACACAGACAGGGACAAACACCATGTGCTGTGCTTCACTTTAGTTATTGTTTAATAAAGCCTGAGCTGTTAAGCTATACATCTTGCTATTTCAGCACAAACACTTACAATGCAATGTTGAACTGGTCTAGTAAGATACTTAAGAGAACCCAAGGAGCATGTCTCCAAGGAATATGGTAGCTTCATAAGACCAGCTGTTGCAGTTTAAACTATTACACAGTTTGTAATTYAATTAGAAAGAGGCCTTTCCATTGCTATGTATTTTGTCAGACAACTTCAAAACCAGAAACCATCTTTCTTTTTGTCTTTTTTCTTATTTGTTCCTGGAAGAATGGATATTTTCTGTTTCAACATTGCTCTAAAATGTACTCAGTTACCTTCAACTGCCAAAATTCTATTAAATTTTTATAATTTCATYATACATTTTAATCATATTGGTTTGATTTCATTAACAGATTTCATACTACTTACCTCTGCACTCAAAAAGACTKACACAAATTTATGTTTCTGCCTTCTGTATTTTGTGGCCAAAATGTAAAGAATCAGCTTTTGGTCCAGGATGCAACTAAAATTACTTTTAGATGTTTCCCAACCATAAAAACAATACATTCCCATCTCTTTCCACWAGAACTACCTTCTCCCATACTGTAGCTTGAGTTCTAATCATCAGTAATGTATTCTAGCTTTTCTTCAGCCATAAAATTCTAGGTTACACAGGATAGCAAAAGAGGTTGATATTGCAATCCTACCTTGGAACAAAAAAAGCTTGAAAGCTTATTCAACAACATTTAAAATTGTTTACTTCCAACTCTTTATTCAAGAATTCCAATTTTTTTTTTTGCATACACAATTAAACACCACTTCTCACATCTCACCATTAGGGTAACCACATCAGCCAGAGTTGAGAGCCATGCCGAAAGGCATGCCTGATAATGTAAGAACTGAGCACATCATGTTGCTTCCTTAGTCAATACTTACTGTGATCTTCGTTTTTTAATTAAAGTCTGTGGTGGTTGATGGTGACATTCAGTAACAAACTAAGAGCTTGATCCTAAGATAATACATGTAATGGAATTTTTAATTATTGCTTGAGGTCTAGGATCTTTTTCTGCATTTAAGGCATGCCTATGTCCAACTCCAAATAGTGAATTTTAATAAACTAAATAACTTTGTAAGATGGAAGAGCAGTATCAATAGCAAATGAGACAAGAAGTAGTAGCAAATCTTCCATATAAATGCAAGATATTTGTATAGACACCTTCCTTCATCACAGATAATTTTTTTCAGGTGCCTCCCAGTAAACAGTTTAACAGTCTAATTTCAGTTTATTTGCTATTGTGGAAAACCCAAAATGTTTCATTGATATTAAAATCCCATCAAATTAGCAACTTTACAATACATCTTCTTAATCATTTATTAACTGCACAATGTCATCGTCTTTCTGAGATGTTTATTTGGGAGTAGCAAGCTATGTTAAGAAAAAGTAAAGGAACAACACTTGGCCTGATGTTGCAGGAAGGTTTTTCTCAATAGTAGTGTCACTTTAAAACAAAACAAAAAAACAAAACAAAAAAAAAAAAAAACAAAAAAAAAAAACTGAGAAAGAAAGGGATGAGACTGGTGCAGTGCATGTGAGAAGTATCATCTGTCCAAAAGAAACATCTCTCTTACAGCTGCGATGAGCATCTTTGGAGCACTGGTTAGGTTATTTGTACTATGTGCTGATAGCATCTTATATAGACACTCGATATTTTATTCTTCCCTTTACCTTCAGAGGAGACCTATATAGACACTAACACTGTTAGAGGTACAAAATGTCTGTCTGAAACTAACACTTCCTATGAACAGCTTAGGAGACAACTGCATTTTGCTTCTTTTTTATATGGGAGACAGGAAAAAAGAAATGTGAGAGAACATCAGCTGGATGGTAAAGAAATCAATCTGCAGACAATGATTGTGCCTGCACAGTGAAGTAGAACCCTCCATGCTGAGTGCGCCAGGACTGGTTGATGGGTAGGAAAAGTATGGCTGCGTGTGAACCTGAGGGGTGACCCCACTCTTCGTCTGGCCAAGGAAAGGTGACAGCAGGCTCAGGAGGGGCCCCCTGTTAAATACCTGAGACGCTGGCAGCTTGGGCATACTCCTGACCATGCATAGACTACATCTTTCCTGCCAGGCAAGGACCCATGCAAAGTTTTTTAAATTGTTCCAAAATCCCTGACAACTCAACAGCTGTTTACTTAGATTTGAACTCAATTACTGCACTTGCATTTCACAAAACTTTAAATTAGGCACAGTCCCACACTGGCACCACTGAGCTAAGCTTTCATTCATACAGAGCTTATAGAATGATCAAAGCAATTATACATACACTCAATCTCTAACAGTTAAGAGCGTCTTAGCATCAGGAACTCTGGTTATGATGAGGTTATCTTGTATTATTTCTGTGAACCAAAAAAATAAAATACTTTCAATTTGCTCTATTCACCAGGGCAAAATAAATCCTACATTTTAATCAAAGGGTTAGGAAATCTTCAGGTAACCATACCAGCAGCATAAAACTTTGGAGCAGRAATAAATTTATAGTCAAAAACAGGTGAAATGGGAAAAAGGTGAAAACATAAAATACATTTGATGATGTGTCTATCCTTTAATGCAACTTGAAGRTCTTTTTTCCCTCCTTCCTTTCTGTGAGCAGTTATTCATGAAGAAACAAATGAAAATATTTAGCCGGGTTGCTTAATGTCACTGCAGACAGAATATTATTTTTGTTCAATGTAAACAAGAGCGCAGAAACCTATTCTGCTTACTGAACTACAGTCAAATATACCATACCATTTAGAAAAAGAATGGAATCCCCTTAGTTTAGAAAATAAGAATCATATTTGCATTCTAGAGCCCTGATGGAGTTGGTAGATGTAGCTGCTAAGCCACCCTTAATAATATTTTAAAATTCATAGCAGTYAGTCTCCAATGACTGGATAAAATTGAGTATCACATTCATTTTTAACAAGSATAAAAAGAAGAGCCTGAGGAACTACTACTAGGCCAGCCACAGCTCAGTGTCCAGTAAAAGCACAGAACAGACCCTCCTGGAAGTTATGCTGAAACATAAATGACAGAGAAGTGATTACAGAAAGCCAGCATTGCTTCACACAGGGTAAATTGCACCTAACTAAGACACGTCTTCTACAAGTGAGTAGACAAGAGTGACAAGAGCTACAGATGTCATCTGCCTCAGCTTCTGCAAGGCCTTTGACTCCTGGACTCCACTCTTGGGAGAGTACATCTGGAGTACCGCCTCCAGATCTGGGGTCTCTGGGGCAAAAAAGACATGGACCTACTCCGTGGGTCCAGAAAAAGGCCATGAAATAGACAGAAGGATGGAACACCTCTGCTGTGAAGTAAGGCTGAGCAAGCTGGAAGTCCTCATCCTGGAGAACAGGTAGACGCAGGGAGACTTTTTTTATGGCCTTCCAATACATAAAGGAGTCTTTWAAGGAAAACAGAGAAATATTCTTTTCCAGGGCCAGTAGAGACAGGACAAAGGGAAAATGAAAGAACATCAATTCAGAATACAACCTGACATTTTTAACAGGGAGGGTGGTGAGASACTGCAACAGGTTGCCAGACAAGTTGTGGATGCCCACCATACATGACTGTATTTGGTTTMAGTGGCAAACTAAGAGAGGGGGCTGCCTCCATGTAGGACCGATGCAGCTCACTCCATTATGGACTGGCAAAGGCTGAGCATATCAGAGATGCTGGTAGCGCCTCCAGGTGGGTGAAAAACACTGCATAATAGCAGCTGGAAGAGAGGAATAAAAATATGTGAGACATCAAGAYAAGTGAAGAAGTAGGGGAAAGCAGTGCTYCAGGTGCTGGAGCAGAAATTCCCCTGCAGCCAAAGGGGAATRCCAAGGTAGAGCAGACATCCAGCCTCCAGCCCACAGAGGATCTCACATGGAGTATGTGAATGTGCCCTGAAGGAACCTGCAGCCTGCGGACAYAGTGAAGGAGCAGGCTGCCGGCAGGAACTAATGCCTGTGGATAGGAGACTACATAGGAGCAGGCTTTGTGGTAGGAACTGTGAGCCTGTGAGACCCATGCAGGCCCAAGTCTGTTCCTGAAGGATTACATCTCACGGAAAGGATGCATTCTGGTGCAGTCCATGGAGAACTCCATGAGTTTTCCATGAGCCCAYGGGAAAAACTCACATTGGAGAGGATTCTCTTCAGTGGGTGGGACCCCATGCTGGTGCAGGCATGAAGAGGATGAGGAACAGCAGAGACTGTGATAACCTGAATGCAAACCCCATCCTCCCCTATCCCCCTGTGCTTATCGAGGTGGCGAGGCAGAGCACTCCAGAGTGAAGTTGAGACTGTGAAGAGGGAAGGGTGGGGAAAAGGTGMTTTTAGATTTCTCCTTGTTTCTCCTTCTCCTGTGCTGTTTGATTGCTAGTAAATTTAATCATTATCACCAAGAGGAGTCTTTTTTGCCCATGACAGTAATTGGTGAGTGGAGTCCTTCTCCTTGAAGCACAAGCTTCTTGATGGAGGGAGAGTGACAGAGTGGCTTGGTGGGCACCTGGTGACCAGTCAATGCCAACCCATCACAATAAGCCTTGGAGCAAACTGATCAAGTGGAAGGTGTCCCTACCTATGACAGGGGCATGGGAACTGAATGGCCTTTGAAGGTCCCTTCCAACCAAAATTCTATGATTCTATGATATTGGAGAAATGTACAGTATCCTTTTCTCATATACAAATGGAGCATAAAAAATAAACCAACACAGGAAAATAAAACAAAAAACAAGACAAACTCCTCTTCTTCCCCTGACTAACACATATTTTTGCTTTTTAAAACAAATTCCTGTCTATTTTTTATATTTATTACACTTTGGTCTGTTTTGCTGAAATGGAGTGCAAGCATTTGAACAACCAAAAGTGGCTTTCTAACTGAGGTTCATTTGTAAGTGCACCATTTTAACAGCCTCCTTGCTGCCATTAACATTAGTCACTTTTCTGCAYTGGATTAGAACCAGAGGGCTAGCAGGAATAATATGATTTGCTAATACAGATGCTCTGCAGCTGCTCTTACCAGAGCTGGCTATTGATAGAAGGTGAAGAAAGGTTTGGTATCTCCAAACTATGTATGGTGAGATGTGAGTACAACACTAAGCAACCAYGAATTCTCATGCTGATCTTGGTTCTGGCGACAAATCCTTTGTTCTCTTACCTGCTCAAGCAGGGAGTAAAACCACTACCTCAGTCATTTGTGATGTGTTTTTATTTAATGTTCAGCATCCACTGAAAGAACAGCCTATTAAAGCAGGCAGCCTGACCTGTTCAGCAGAAAAGTGAGTAACCTAACCCACCAGTATGCTGCAACAGCCACAATGGGAGGGACATGGAAAGGTTAKATCTATTATGTTTTACAGTTTTACAAAACTGAGTATAGAAACAGATACCAGGACATAATCTAGCATATAACAGTAATAAAAAGAAAGTTGCCCATAATAAGGTATTCACTCAAGATTGGCTCATTGTCTTGTAAYATTTTGGGCATTTGCCATATTCTGCTTTAATAAAAATTCAACAGTACAATAGGTAGAAAAAATAAATTCCTCTTCAAAAGGAAGAATAAAGCATCTGGAATGTTTTAAAATGAATCAAGAGAAGCAAATGCTAACAGGAAAACCAGGCCCTTTGTTTTTAAGAATAAGAAAAAAAAAAGTAACTACAAAACTATGAAATGTGGAAAGAGATGGTGGCACACTTTCATCTGAAAACCGAATTAATAAATTATTTTATTGGAGATTTAATTTATATATTCAAGTCTATTGTTTATGGAGTATTTAACACATGAACACTCCATTGCACAAAAAATGGAAACACTGGCAGCAAGACTAGTATTATGAGCTGTACAGAAATACATTGTATCAGTGCCTCCAATAAGAACCTTACCAATATAGACAGAAACACAGTAATACAGTATTTTTCACTGCAATTTTATTCGTGACACTAAGGACAGCGCTGCCTAGGAATCCCTGCAAGTCTTTCTACCTCTTTCTGCACACTACCACACTTACTGATAAAATCCTTCCATACTGGGAAATACCTACTGATGAAAGGGCASAGGTGAGAGAAGCAGGTTTTTACAACTGAAATGATTTCAATTAAAAAAGGTAAGCTTAAAATCTTGGTGTCCAAGGCTAGCACCACAGCACATATAGCACATTTAGGMAAATGCAACCCAAAAATGAAACTTACTTATAAATCTAATTTACAAGTAGAGGAGAGGAATCAAGTTTCCATTACAAGAAAATGGAATTCTCATTATTAGATAYTTCCTTTAAAAAACATCTTATTTTACTCTAGGTTCAACCTGTCTAAACATTTATTTATATGAAGTAAAAAGAAGTGTGGCTTTTAACAACAGTATTGTTTTTTGCATTAGGACTGAGATATCAAAGTTGTCTCACCTTGAATAAATAAAATTAGACTTGTACTTACCGATATATCATCACTGAAATCTATTTCATCCAAATCAAGGTATTCAGGGGCTTCCATTATTCTTCTATGGACATCTTGGGTGAGTCAGCACATTAGTAAAGACCTAAGCAAGAAAAGAGAAATAAACTGTCTTTAAAGAGTCAAAGGCACACAGAAGTGATTTCATACTGTTGCTCAATTACTGGAAACATTTAATTTGGATAGTAGTCTTTCATAATTTAATCCCAAAAGCTAAATATGATTTGCCACCTCTACTCTGCATATCATGAAGTAGACATTCCAATTTTTTGCAAAAATAGCTAAGTGCTACTTGAAATAGAAGCCAAATATACTTGATTCAGCATCACAGTCCTTCCAGAAGTTAAATACAGGTATAAAGATCTAAGCTGAAGGTCTAAGTTGAAGACCCTCATGACCTTGCAACCAAAGCTGTGTTAATGATGTCTCTTCTCTCAACCATGAGACACTTACTCACAGCAACACCTGCTGCTGCAGTTTTCCTCTGTCCAAGATTGCAGAAAAGAACTGAGAATCCCGTTGTGCACAGACAACAAAATCCTATCACACTTTATCTCTTCTTACAAGCAGACTTAATATACAATGCAGCCTGTGCTTTACAGATTAATGGTTTACCACCCCTCAGGCTGTGAGTGCACATCCCCCGGAATGGCAATGCTTGCAATGCCAGAATTATTTCAAGTGCACTAATTAACCATTATTATGGGCATTATTAACCAATATTATAACTAATGCCCATTAACCATGGGCATTAACCATTTTGTTGCAGCAATAAAAATGGAAGAGCAAATGCTCTTGCAAATCAAGAAATTTGGCTGGAAAAGTCAATATTTCATGTGAATAAATTAAAGCTTAGACAATCAGAAGATCRAAGTCCTCATTGTCAATCCTAACTAGAATGAAGGTGTGTCACTTGAGACAATGCAACAGAAGTAAAAGTACGAAAGGAAGGTATTCTAAAGGAAGTTGAACAACACAAGTGCAATGCATTTTTAAATAATGTGAGGCATTACATAAGGATTAAGTATTATTATAGAAGAAAATTAAAACCTCCAGTCCATGTACATAACAAAAAGAAATGCCCTAAAGAAAGAAGACCCCACAAACCCAATTTATTCATATGACAGCTACCAAGGAATATGTTTACGAATAATGAAATCAACTGTGTAGRCCTAAATAAAATCATTTGTGAAACATTCACATGCTTAAAAAATGTCCTAGGATATAGGGTCTGAAAAAATTGCTTTTCTGCAAGTGCCACCTGCAAACAAAACCTCAATAATTAATCTCCCTAATAACACATTATCCAAGCACAAAGCTGACCTTAAAACACCTGTTCTTCTGAAGTTATTAGAAAGAGAACCAGTGGGCAAAACTCCCRTTTTATGCTGAAATAGCTACAAAAGCAAATTTTTTTTTTTTCTCACCAAGTTACTGAAGCAATATCAGCATAATTTTCTCATTAAGTGAATGTTCTGATCTTGGCTGGAATCGACCTGATTTTCTTCACAGTAGTTAGTATGGGGCTGGGATTGGGATTTGTGCAGCAAACAGAGTTGCTAATTAAGGGATACTTTCATTACTGCTGAGAAGGGCTCACTAAGAGCCAAAGCCTTTTCTSCTCCTCACATCCCTCCCACCAGTGAGCRGGCTGGGGACACAAAAGGAGTTGGGACAGCAGTGATCCCAACTGATTCAATGGGATATTCYATAGAAGCTGACATCATGATCTGCATAATAAGCTGCAGGAAGGAAAAAAAGGGATGTTTGGAGTGAGGGTGTTTGTGTCATCCCAAGTCACTGTGACACATGATGGGGCCCTGCTTTCCTGGAGATGGCTGAACACCCGCATGCCCATGGGAAGAGGTGAACAATTCCTGGCTTTGCTTTGCTTGCACGCACAGCTTTTGCTTCCCCTACTAAACAACCTTGGCTACCTACAATTTGCTCTTACTGTGACAGTTAGACTTGAGTGAGGCTCAAGTGTCTCTGTTGTGAAACTCATCAGCTTTTCATTTTGCACATTTCAAAATGCTATGTTTATTCTTGCAGGGAACCACTAAAATCAGACAAAAGTCTAACAATGAAAGGAAATAGCTATTGTGAAAAGGCATGATATATTCAAGTCTACAAATTTCAGCATTACAGATTTTCCTTAACAGAAACGTAAACTTTCAGTACATTTTTGAAAGATTTTTGTATTTGGGAGATATTACAGCTCAGTTGTGGCAAAGTGCAATGCCACTGTATTTCAGCAGTTGGCAATGCAAGGATGTRGTAGTGGAGAGTTAGAGGGTTGGCTTCTGTGAGAAGATGCTACAAGTTTCTGCTGTGTCTGATGGAACCAGTGTAAGATGACTCCAAGACAGGCCCATTGCTGACCAGAGCTGAGCCCCGCAACGAYGGTGGTAGCACTTCTGGGATAACAGGATTAGGAAGGGGAAACAGGTACTGTGCAACAGCAGCCAGGAGAGAGGGGTGAGAACATGTGAGAGCAACAGTCCTGCAGACAGCAAGGTCAGTGAAGGAGGGGACAAGGTACTTCAGTTGCCAGAGCTGGGATTTGCCTGCAGCCCGTGGTGTAAGATACAGCAGGGCAGCTGTGTCCATGAGGCCCATGGAGGAGCCTGTGGAGGACCTCAAGTCAGAGCAGGTGGAGGACCTCAAGTCAGAGCAGCTGGATGCCCAAAGGAGGCTGTGATATTATGGAAAGTCCATGCTGGAGAAGGCGCCTGGCAGGACTTGTGAGCCTGTGTAGAATGGAGGCCATACAGAAACACTTTGTAGGCAGGACTTGTGACCTTCCTCCTAAGAGGTAGAGACTGGATATCAGTCTATCACTGTGACTATTGATACCAGTTCAAACCATACTGCCAGCTTTTGAAGCAAGACATATGCTGACTAAGTATATCAAATATATTTGACAAATGTTGGCACACAAGAGGGTGGTTGTGCACTGGAACAGGTTTCCCAGGGAATTGTCGCTGCCTGACAGAGTTCAATGTTTGTTTGGACAATGTTCTTGGACACAYGGTGTGATTCCTGGGGCTTTCTGTGTACGGCCAGAAGTTGGATTCAATGATCCTTGTGGTCCCCCTCAAACTCAGAATATTTTTGTATGATTGTATGATTCTGTACGTACTGTCTTACAGAAATTAAATTCTGTATTACTACAGAAGGTGACAAATATGTGAAGTAGGAATGAGCATTAAAGTATAAGTTTAAAAGTTAAAAGCATCTATGGACCATGTAACATACAAACAGCCTGAAAACAATGCTTCATTAAGATTCAGTTTTTCATGAGAAAAAAATTGATCAAAAGCTGCCCCCCCATTATATTAAAAAGTCAGCAGCAGGGATAAAGCTACTTTAACCATACCACATAAGGAAGAATCAAGAAGTGACCCAGAATTTTTTATTTTCAACTAAAACTGAAATTATTTAGTTAAGATTAAATTATAAATTAAAAAAAAAAAGTTTGATATTAGTTTTTAAAGTATAATTAAATTATTCACTTAATAAAATTATTCAGTTAAAATTATTCAGTTAATAAAAATGCTAGTAAAAATCCTTCATAGCTTTAGCAAAATAACTATTATTCATCATTATCATATATCTCATGATTTTAGAACAGAAATATCTTTCAGAGTTAATTTTTCATTCTAAATTGTAAGAAGCCATTGAGGCAAAAAAAATTGCTGTATCCATGCATAGCTGACAAAAGGACTTCATTTCACCTAGTGAGGTACAAAACCCATGAAGTCAGTCCACCATCCTGCATCATTACCCCCCCAAAATGTTATCTTCTGTCCTTTCAAAAGCTTAACRACTGAAAGACACAAAGGCTGAAGACAAAGTTGATAACCAAAACAAAGACATTTTCTCTATGAAAAGCTTTCTGAAGATAGTGTTCAATTACATGAAAAGAAAGCAAAAGAGCTGAAATCTCTTAATGAAAAGATTTTAATTTTTTCTTAATGAAGTAAAACTGGACAGTACCTCAGATCAAATACCATTACTAAATTAGGCTTCTCATTACTATACTTGGAGTTTTATGCAAAAGGTGTACTTTTTGGACCCAATTTTACACAGTGGAACTCCACTATGCATAACACAAACMATATGGTAAGGACAGTACCCAGAGCTGTGACTATTTTGAGAGCTTTTTGACAGCTGAATCCAGCACACCACCAGCAGTATAAACAATCTGAATAGGATTCACAGGAAGATCATAAGCACAACTGGCCAAATTCAAGGTAGAAATAATAGCAACCAAAATTGCAACCGCCAGCAGGGGCTGACATGAGATGAATAATGTGTTTCCAGCACCAAAATCACAGCAATACAGATGACTGTCTCTGGCTTGTCAGCAGAAATGTCTGACATTTAACTTATAATTGTTCCTAACTGTAYTTTGGAAGCTAGTAATTTAATATTCCACAAAATTTTAACCCCAAAAAGGGTATTTCCTGTCTGGAAATTTGACTTAGAGATAGACATATGCACACATATGCATATTTTATACAGGTAAAAGAAGTTCGAGCAGTTCTCAGAATTCAAAACCAAAAGATGAAAACCACATAAACATCATCCATATGTACTCTGGAAAAAATAGCTTTTTACAATTTTGTGAAGCAGTTCACCAGGAGAAATTGAGCTAAATAATAAAAAAATTGCCCCATTACTACACAGAAATGGGTATTTGTTGTACTACCAATAACTAGTATTATTGGTACAATAAAATATTGCATATGTTGCATTGCAAGAGATAGTAGTATTTGAAACCAAACTCATCCTTCTCCCTTTCAAGCACGTGCAACTCTCATTGTTTTTTTTCAAAACAGATTTCCTCTGCTGCTCTCCTTCTCAGCTAAAACTAGACACCTGAGCTCAAACCCAGTTCCTAACAGACATTCAATAAAATCAGATGAATGAGGGGGAAAAAGCAATTTCAAGAATAATACTTATATTACTAATATAGTAGCAGTGAAGTATTAGATGCAGGGAACAAATCCATCAACTTCTGCAAACACTAAAAACCCATTCTGKATTGATGGCACACAGTACCAATAGATGAAATGCTTG